GCGTTCACGTAAAAAAAAAAAAATAGAGAGATAAATTAGATTTGCGGCTCAGTGATGATGTCATAAAGAATCTCACCCTAAGCGAAATTGAGACGTTGTTGAGAAGGCGCGACACAAGTCCTCGTGATTATTCATCCATGCCTTATCCAGTTAGAGATCATAGTAACTCTACTTCGAATTGCTTAATATTGGATGAGCTAAATTACGATCGGAAGGCTTTATCTGTAGAGCACGAAGCACTTCTTAGTAGAATGACCGACGAGCAGAAGACTGTTTATTCAAAGATCACGGATGTTGTTGATTCTGCTAATGGTGGTGTATTTTTTGTATACGGATATGGCAGGACTAAGAAGACCTACTTGTGGAGAACGTTGTCTGCGGGGTTACGATCGAATGGTAAAATTGTTTTATGTGTCGCATCAAGTGGAATAGCGTCTCTTTTGTTGCCTGGTGGAAGAACTGCACACTCTCGATTTCTCATACCGCTGAATATTCATGAAAATTCATCCTGCGATATTGACCAGGTAAGTCCACTTGCGGAACTGATAATACGATGCTCTCTCATTATATGGGACGAGACGCCGATGATGCACAAACATTGCTTCGAAGTTGTCCAAACATTATTGCAGGCTATTATGGGAGCAGTTGACCCTTCCAACAGTAACAAGCCATTCGGAGGCAAATCTGTTGTATTTGGTGGAGACTTTCAACAAATACTTCCAGTGATTCTAAAGGGGAGTCGTCAGGACATTGTGAACGCAACTATTAATTCTTCCGACATTTGGAGGAATTGTACTGTGTTGCGACTTACAAAGAACATGCGTCTTCAGAGCATTTCAGATGCAGAGGAACTTGATGAGCTAACAACATTTGCTGAGTGGATTGCGAGCATTGGAGATGGGACTGTAGGAGGATCAAACGACGGTTGTGCCGCGATTGACATTCCAGAGGATATACGATTGGAAACCTCAGATGATCCAATTGCTACAATCGTCGAAAGTACCTATCCAATGTTCAAAAATGCAACTGACGATCCAAGTTATCTGAAGGACAGAGCTATATTAGCGCCTACTTTGGAGGTCGTTGAGTCTATCAATCAATAAATGTCGGATATGAATTCTGTTGAAGGTCGTACATATTTGAGCTCTGACAGTACGTCTAAGTCAGATTGCAATGGTTTTTTTGGCTGATCTCCACATACCCGAGTTCTTGAATAGCATTAAGTGTTCGGGAACGCCGAACCATGAGTTGTATTTGAAGATAGGAACTCCGGTCATGTTGTTGCGAAATATGGACCATTCTCTGGGTCTGTATAATGGCACATGTTTGGTTGTTACGAAGCTCTCTCCACATGTTTTTGAATGTAAGATATTGACTTGAGATCACGCAGGTGAGAAGGTGTTGATTCCTCGGATGAACATAACTCCTTCTGATGTTAGGGTTCCGTTTAAGTTCCAGCGGAGGCAATTTTCCCTTATGGTTTCCTATGCCATGACCATAAACAAGAGTCATGATTAGTCTTTATCACATGTTGGACTGTTCTTGAAAAAACCTGTTTTTAGTCATTGCCAGTTATACGTCGCTGTTTCACTTGTTACTAATAGGAAGAGGTTGAAAATATTAGTTTGTGGGGGACGATGAGTTTCCCAGTAATCAGACTAATAACGTTGTATATAAGGAGGTTTTTAATAATGTAGAACTTTTTACCAATGACGATTTTATATTTACTTTATGAATGTCATACGTATTATAATAACTTATTAATTAATGACCTTCTAATTTTTTAATTTTTTTCAAAACATGTACTAGTCCGTGCATCGCACGGGTTACATACTAGTTGTATAAATTCACATAGAGTGGGACCTATCAAAAATAAAAAAGAAAATGCTACAAGTGCATAATAAATGTACACAACACCTACATGGAGTGGGGTGACTTGATTTTTCTTTGTGGGTCTCACTCAATGTGAGTGTTATGTAAACTCCTATGTACAATATTATAGAGGAATTTGCACCACATACCATTCAATACACTTTATATTACATTTATACACCCCATAAATATATATTTGCAACTCTACTAAATTCTACATACTTATTTGCACATGTACCAGATTTTTCAATTTATTAATTATGGAGAATAAATATAGAAACAGAGGTATATTTATAACCAATCCCTATTATCAAGGAATTAATTTTCTCTTTCTTTCATCTTGTTCTCCATTATCTCAATCATTTCCTCATCAACTATTTTCTTCAAATGAAACGCAGTTCAAATTAAAAATATTGTGCACGGCCTCAAGGTAGCAAATGAAGGTAGACATGAGAAAAAAAAAAAATATAATAATTGTGTTTAATTTGTATTATTGGTTAATTAATTGCTTATTTTATATC